CCCATCCTGACATCGCTCTGGGGGCTCCAAGGGGAATCCAGACCCATCCTGACATCGCTCTGGGGGCTCCAAGGGGAATCCAGGCCCACCCTGACATCACTGGGGGCTCCAAGGGGAATCCAGACCCATCCTGACATCGCTCTGGGGGCTCCAAGGGGAATCCAGACCCATCCTGACATCACTCTGGGGGCTCCAAGGGGAATCCAGGCTGGGGGTTCAGGGACTGAATTCCCTGAGCTGCAGACCCTGAGATCGAGTGTGTGGGGTTTGGGGGATCAGAAAGGGGCACTCCATGTCCCAGAGCCAGAGCGAGTTCCACGTTTGGGATCACCAGGCTCACCTGGGCAGCTTTAGAGTCCTGAAGGAACACAGCAGGGGTTCCTTTGGCTCAGGAAGGGAGACCAAGCCCTGCCTTGTTGGCTCTGGAACCGGCCCTGCTGGGCAGTCCCAGGGCTGGGAACAGACTCGGGAATGCCACAGGAGTGAGGAACGAGGCTCATCCAGGCATTTAAGGGTTTGAACAGAGCCCAAATCCTGCATTTTGGGGTCAGGACAGACCCAGACAGGTGAGGGGTGGAGTGAGGCAGCCCCAGGGTGTGGGGCCGGTGAAGGTGAGCAGGAAGGGACCGAGTGATTTGGGAATCCCTCCCTCAGGGCTGGGTGATCCTTGAGCTCCCTCCCCAGTTAAACCCTTCTGGGATTCCGCGATGGTTCTGTGACCTCTCTCACGCTCATTTTCCACCGTGTCCTTCTTTCTGCTCCCGGCTGATGGAGCTGCCCGCGTTTGAAAGAGCTGGAGGAGCTCTGGGACACGGGGCAGCCCTGCTGCTCACCGAGCTGTTTGCGATAACATCTCCCATCACATCCCATTTATTCCCCTTTTTTGTTGTTATTTGTCATAGTGATTATTATTGGAGCTAGAGAAATAAACAGGAATGGAAAATTGAGAAATAAAGGATGAAAAACTTCTTTTGTGGTGCATTTTTTAGAGAAACTCAATTTGATTTTGTAGGGGCTGTGAGTTACCTAAAGACTGAAATTTCAATATGAGCAGGAGAGAAAACTCTTGAGGGCCCATTGGATGTGACAGACCTGGGCAGGTTCAAGAGTGACACTGGAACTCCTGGAGTGGGTGAGGAATGAGATTTGTGCCAGGACCAGCACAGGATCACAGAGCACCATGGCTTATCCTGTAAGGCCCTACAGGGGCTAAATCCCGGTAAAGTCATTCCCCAGGGCAGCCCTCCTCCAGGAAATGGGAGTGAGTTCCACATTCCCTACTGTTCACTATTGCCTGCCTCAGTTTACCTTAAAAATCATCATTCTCTTCTCTACAGATTACAGAATTTTATCCTTAAAGGTTTACCTATACGTGTATTACTGATTACCTCAGTTGACCTCAAAATGTTCATTCTCTGCACTATAGATCCCCTCATGTCTGCTCCAAAATTTTTCCCTGTCTGTCCACTTCTTACTAACTCATTTTTGATCCAAAATCATTTGATGCCGCCCGAATGCCCGAGCGCCCGAATGCCCGAGCGCCCGAATGCCCGAGCGCCCGAATGCCCGAGCACGAGCTGGAGCCTCCCGCTGTCCAATCAGCGCTGCGATCGCCTCACGACTCTCACCAATCCCGAACCGGCCGAGGGTATATAAGAGCCAATGCCTGAGGCGGCGGTTCCGTTTTTTTCGGGTTTGGAGCTGGTACTGTCCATTTCAGTGAGGTAAAAAGATAGTTTAATGTATCTGTTTATGGTGTGTGGAAATTGGAGTGATGTTTCAGTGTGAGATGTACTAGAGGGCAGGTACGTGGTGAGCCCAGGTAAAGCCATGGCAAGGAGGAGAATCTGTTGATCTCTGGGTTTGCCTTGGCATCCYAGGGCCTCTCCTCAGGCAGATTATGAGTGGAATATTTTCTGAATCGGTTGTGTACTGACCTTAGTGCTGAATTAATGATTTTTGCTCATTTCGTGTCTATTCTAAGCCTTTGGTGCATTTCCTGTGGGGTGGGAGAGTGCCGAGGGCTGCTGTTGATGCTGGGAGAGGTAATTGCTTTGCAGAACTTTTCTATAAAACATAACTATACCAAATCATTGAATTTCTACGATAAGAACAGGACTTATGCTCCCAATAAAGAATTGGGGTGTGTTGGGCAGGGAGTTGGAAGCACAGAGGTTTTCCTGCCTTAATTCCTCCAATCATTGATTTCTGTCTGTTTGGAACAATAATTTAATTAACTTGAACTGCATCACTGATGATATCCTGAGAGCATAACAGGGAGCAGAACTTGGGTTCCAGTGTGTTGAAACAATGCCAGGGAAACATAAATCTCTCAGAAAATAGCATAAATAATGTATTATAAATGTCTTTATTTCAATCAAGTGCCTCTCACTACAGTGGTGAATACACAGCTGTGCTCACTGAGATCAAACACAGGTGATGCACTGGCACTCCTGGGTTCATGTTAATTATTGCCAGGTGATTCCAATTGGGTTCCATTGCAGTGGATCTGTACTGAAAAGCGTTAATGTTAATTATTGCCAGTGATTTCAATTGGGTTCCATTGCAGTGGATCTGTACTGGAAAGCTGCGTTAATGTTAATTATTGCCAGGTGATTTCAATTGGGTTCCATTGCAGTGGATCTGTACTGAAAAGCTGCGTTAATGTTAATTATTGCCAGTGATTTCAATTGGGTTCCATTGCATTGGATCTGTACTGAAAAGCGTTAATGTTAATTATTGCCAGTGATTTCAATTAGGTTCCATTGTAGTGGATCTGTACTGAAAAGCTGCGTTAATGTTAATTATTGCCAGTGATTTCAATTGGGTTCCATTGCAGTGGATCTGTACTAAAAGCTGCGTTAATGTTAATTATTGCAGGTGATTCCAATTAGGTTCCATTGCAGTGGATCTGTACTGGAAAGCTGCAGCCCTGGGCTGTCCATAGGAAGTGCTGTCTACTGAGTGTCCTGACAGCTCAGATCAATCAGCTCATTCTGGTTTAAACTCCCTTGAAAAGTGCTGCAAGTACAAATTGGAATATAGAACACACGTGGGAAAAACAGGAGGGGGGTGGTGTCAGAGCTGTGTCACATCAGGCTGGGTTTCCCTCTGAGGACAGACTCTCCGAGCTGAGGTGAGATTGACACTTGCACACAAAGCCATGTCAGGAATTTTTGCAGAGGAAAAATTATTAGCAGTTGCTAATGATCCGTGGAGAATGTTCTTTGTAATTATCAACTGGAGAGTGTGTCATTGAAGAGCATTTCTTTTGGCTCATATTCTGATTTGTAATTTCCTTTCTGGTTTAAATTAGTTTTGAATGCTCCTGTTAAGGAAGCAACATTTTTATGTTGAAATTAGGGATGGTTTTATTTCTTTAGGGGTTTTTTTTCCTCCCAACTGAATCAGCCCTTCCATGAATAGTCCCCTGTTATGGATTATGGGTCAGAGAAAGAAGGGAAATTGCGTTTTATTATCTTATATCTTTCCAAGCAGAAGTGGGATGTTGTCTTGCCCTTTCCCAAACCACTCCAGGCACATGGGAGTAGCTCAGTGCTGGCAGAGTTCTCCGAGGAATTACAGAATTTGAGAGGTTTAAGTATTAAAAATAACTCCATTGTCTCTTGGTTGCAAAGAATCAGTCCTACAGTCCCAGAGAGATTAAGAAAAAAGGGAACTTCTCTTACTCATGTGAGTATTATTCCTTGTGTAGTATTTTAATTCTGTTGTATGACTGAACCTCAGGTATCATTCTAACAAAATTTGATCGAAATTTAGAATTTGAGTTTTGGTCTGTTCATTACAAAATCTCACAAAGCCAGAAGCACTGGGATGTTGTTGACTGCTCTCAGCAAAGGTTATTTATTATAATTAGCTCAGATTTCCTTCAGCTCTGGGACGGACACCCCTGGGAACATGGTGAAGATCAGAATTGTGTAAAGACTGCTCCAGGTAAGGTCARTGCTTGCCTGTAGATG